TGCAGAATAGAGGAACTCTGCACATACACTTTTTGCCGGCTTGGAATTATTCTTATTTTCATCCTACTTCTTCTTCTTCATCCTCATCCTCTTCTTCTTCTGAGGATGAGGATGAAGAAGAAGAAGAAGTAGGATGAAAATAAGATTAATTCCAAGCCGGCAAAAAGTGTATGTGCAGAGCTCCTCTAAGTGTATCTGCAGAGCTCCTCTAAGTGTATCTGCAGAATAGAGGAACTCTGCACATACACTTTTTGCCGGCTTGGAATTATTCTTATTTTCATCCTACTTCTTCTTCTTCTTCATCATCCTCATCCTCATCCTCTTCTTCTTCTGAGGATGAGGATGAGGATGAAGAAGAAGAAGAAGAAGAAGTAGGATGAAAATAAAGATTAATTCCAAGCCGGCAAAAAGTGTATGTGCAGAGCTCCTCTAAGTGTATCTGCAAGCTCCTCTAAGTGTATCTGCAGAATAGAGGAACTCTGCACATACACTTTTTGCCGGCTTGGAATTATTCTTATTTTCATCCTACTTCTTCTTCTTCTTCTTCCTCATCCTCATCCTCTTCTTCTTCTGAGGATGAGGATGAGGATGAAGAAGTAGAAGAAGAAGAAGAAGTAGGATGAAAATAAGAATTCCAAACCGCAAAAAGTGTATGTGCAGAGTTCCTCTATTTCTGACAGTTCTCTGACAGCTTCTTCACATGTACAGCGGGTTGAAACATCTGTATCCTAAAATGGAAACTAATAGATACAATGTTTCAACCGCTGTACATGTGTTCCTTCTGTCAGAGAACTGTCAGAAATAGCGGAGCTCTCTGCAGGGACACTTTTGCCGGCTGATCGGGAAAAATCCAATTCGCGCACCTGAAGTAGGCAAATATTCGGGATTCGACGCGAATCAAATTTTTCCTGAAATTCGTATCGAATTCCGGTTCACCTGGTTCGATTCGCTCATCTCTAATTATAAGTAGCAAACCCAAGTCAGGAGCATGCTTAACCTACACATCCTAGCTGCTATGGATGAATAGCCATAACTTCTTTTGTGCAAAGGAGAAGGGTTAGGAACCCTGTCAAGTTTTCTTTTCTGTCTCCCCACTGGGGAGATTAAGTTGCTCTATTTGTTCTGTTGGCTATCCAAACAGAAAATGATGGGGAATTCAAAATGTTACAGTTGCCCCCAAACAGAAATAGAAACATAATTTTCCAAAGGTGAATCCCGTTTTGTGTACAACTATCTAAGGGGGGAATTGTCCTTATTTTGTAGAGATTTCCGCTCAATTCCTGTTCCATCTCAATGACAGGAAGTGAAAGGAATTTTGCAAACTGGGAAGGTAAAAAATAAACTGACAGGGGTTTAGTTTTGGTTATACATAAACTATAATTGACTTGCTATATTTCAGTGCACATAATTTTGAACCATGGCTCCTGGCTGCAGTAATATTAAGATGAGAGGTAAAGAAGGAAGGAGGAACCTGAACCCCTTTAAACACAGTCCCCCTTAGTTTCCTGGAGGCGTTTCCATGATTGACTTATTATCATACTGATACATTATCTGTGCTCAGTGCATAAATACATAAAGTGCATTGATCATACCAGTATCTGAGCTATTGTCCTCCATGTAATTATATAGATGACTTCTTATCATCCCACATAATCATTTTCAATTAGAAATGACAGTTAACCATTTTCTCTGCAGCTTCAGATAGTGGTGAAATCATGTATCAGTGTTCTTCTATGCACACATATTAGTGCTGTATCATATTTTATTTGATAGCAATGACATCATATCCTCCCAGTGCATATAAAAACAAAGAAACTATTATCTTCTGTCATTTGCAATGGTGTATCTTTGTGTGTATGTGTGGGAGAAAAGAGGGCTGCTTTCGTTATGAAACATGAAGGATAAGGACCCCAAAGCAGTAGGCTCCTTTTTACATAAAAGGTAAATCTTGTTAAACGCTAAACACCAGATATGTAAAAACATAATTATAATGCAGTTCTGCATTCATTAAAAAAAGCTTTAAAAGTATTTTTACATTTCAATACATTTTTATTAAAAGGAATTTTTATAAACAATATTCTGAGACACAAATAAGGTTCAAACATATGGGAGTACACATTCTGGCATAGGAAACATAGGCAAAATCTTGGTGCAAGATTTTACGTGTGGTGTGAGTGTGACAGTCCCCCAGCATAGCTATATAGTAATTGGGAGGGTACACATTGCCCAGTCCACACTGAGAGTCTTTCAACAGCTAACCTGGAACATCCCTGAAGAAACATTGCATAGTTACATAGTTAGTCTTGCTGAAAAAAGACAAAAGTCCATCCAGTTCAACCATAGAAAAAAAAGTTATAATCCTATACCCACATTAGAGCCACAATGGGGGAAACCACCATCAGGTATCCACCCTGCAGTCTTGCTTCTAGTCAAATAAGATATATCACAGAGAAAAGAAAATGGAAAGTAGAGAATAGCTGAGAAAAAAGGATGGAAAGGAGGAGACTATGAGAAGTGTGAAGGGAAGGATGGGGAATGAGAAAGGAAATTGGAGTTGGGACATCACGAATGACTTCATGTGAGAAAAATTGAGGTCCAAAGATTCAAAATTAGTTTTTTTACATTATCATGGAGAATGGCTGCCAACTTTATGTTGAACATAGATTATGATATTTTGTTTAACCTGTTTAACAGTCAGGGTACCAGACCTCCAGTCTCTCTCTAAAGTCTGTTTGTCAGCTGTCAAGATAAAAGTCAGAAGTCTAAATTGGTCAAAAGTGTAGTTAGGTGGTGTAAGATTCAATAGAGCTTCATACTGATTCTTAGGGATACTAGAACCTAGAGCAGTATAAACTAACTGGTAGACCCTGATTCAAAAATGTTTGATTCTAGGACAGGCTCACCATACAGTATCTGTACTAAAGTTCCAGTTGTTCCACAACTCAAAAACAATGGTCCAAGATGCCTTGGATGAATTTGGCCAGTCTATAGGGTACCGTATGCCATCTAAACAATAATTTACAGTTGGCCTCATTAAAAGATGACTTCTGCGATACAGTGAACAATCAAGTCCCAAATCTGGGCTCATTGTTGTCAAGGAAACCATCCAAATCTTTTTCTCATTAGGAAACATAAGGCAGAGGACTCACAAAGTCACCTTCCAAAAGAGAAGTTTAGAGTGAGGATATACGGTAATACCCTTTGAGAGGGGATCGTGCAAACATATGTGTTCAAAATGTGTGAGTGTTAAAGGTAAAGCTGTGTGTTTTAAAACAGATTGCACATAATTTTGAATTTGAAGATATTGAAACATCTCCATAGAAGAAATATGATGAGAGGGCTGTAGCAAAAATAAACTTAGCATATTGCTCCTAATCTACAAGTCATACACTTGACGGAAACCTGCTTTAGTCCACCACTAGAATCTTCTTGATTTTTCTTATCATAGGGGAAAGAAGAATTGTTAGAGAGTTGCAAGAGGTGTACAGTATGTGTCTGTATTAGCCTCTTTGAGTTTTTCAAAGATTCCCAGATTTTTAGTAAATGCGTTAGCACCAGGCGAGTAATATGTTGCCAATAACTGTGTCCATAGAATTGCGTCTATAGCCATACATGCAACCAGGTAGGCTTTATTACTGACCCATAATAGAGTATTAGAGGATGTAGGACAGGAAGTTTGATGGGCAATTTGTGATGCTCAGTAGTGGTTGATAATATTATTATATGCAGAATCACCAGTTCCCTTTAAACTTGAACCAAAATGGAACTGCATAGATTTTATCAGACTAGACTCCTGCCATATAAGCCACAAACATGCCTGCTGAATTGATCATAAACTATGCAATGGTATATAAACAGGAAGAACCCTAAAAGGTACACCTATTTAAGAAGCAATGTCATTTTCAGGGCAACAATCCTTCCCAGCCAAGATATGTGATACTTCTTCCAAGAATCAAGAATGGATGTCGTTTGTCTCAGAAGTGATTCCTAATTGGCTGCATATAAAGTCTCATAGGAGGGTGTGATGTAAACTACATATAAAGGGAAGATGAGAATGCACCCAATGATATTGAAAATTATCCTTAAAGAATATGTAAGCCCAACATTTGATATTCCTGATATGTACCTGCTCTACCATGTACTTGTATGAAAACGTATCCTGTTTTTTTTAGCAGTGCTTCCTTTGTGTAAAATCCTTCCTGCCGGTCCCTATGCTTTCCTATTAAAAACAACTACACTTGGTATGAGAGTACAGTATGGTCAGTTCTCTAGCTGTGCTGGGAACTCAATGTGCTCTCCTCCAAAGATCAGTCTTCTCCTGACACACCCTCCCTGAACAACCTTTCATTGGGAAGATCAATGTTCTGCTGTTTCTCCGCCCCTAGCTCTAATGCAGCTGAGAACAGAGATTACGTATTCTTATAAGAGTGGGAGAAAAGGGTTTTTTTTTTCTATCTGTATACAAATGTTTTGGCATTCATTTCCATTGAAACTGAGTGGGTTGTTTTACAAGGTGAGGGTTTATAATCACTTTAAGTGATTGGACTTGGTCGACTCCAAGAGTAATATTCAAGGCAATGGATTTTGAGATGTTTGCATAAAGCCCTGAGCACTCTGGATAAGAGAGCAACAGAGACACATTTGGACAGCAGCATTGTCAATCTGGAGTAAGGGTAGTGTTAGATGGACTAGCAGATTTAGATACTAACAAATTGAAGCCAAACTCCAGCTAACATTTTTTAACCACTAGCCTACTGGGCACTTATACTCCCTTCCTACCCAGGCAAATTTCCAGCTTTCAGTGTTGTCACACTTTGAATGACAATTGTGCGTTCATGCAACACTGTACCCATATGAAATTTTTATCATTTTTTTTTGTGACAGATAGAGCTTTATTTTGCTGGTATTTAATCACATTGGGGTTTTTTATTTTTTCTTAAACAAACCAAAAACCACTGAAAATTTGGGGAAAAAAAAGTATTTTCTTAGTTTTTGTTATAAAATTTTGTAAATAAGTGATTTTTCTCCTTCACTGATGTGCGCTAATGAGGCTGCAGTGATGGGCACTGATAGGCTGCACTGATGGACACTGATAGGTGGCACTGATGGGCACTGATGAGGAGGCACTGGTAGGTGGCACTGATGGGCATTGACAAGCATCACTGATGGGCACTGAAAGGCAGCACTGATACATGGCACTGATATATGGCACTGATATATGGCACTGTTAGGCGGCACTGACTGACACTGTTAGGCGGCACTGACTGGCACTGATAGGTGGCACTGATGCACACTGACTGGCACTGATAGGTGGCACTGACTGGCACTGATAGGTGGCACTGATTGGCAGCACTGATAGGTGGTACTGATTGGCATTGATAGGTGGCGCTGACTGGCACTGATGGATGACACTGAAAGGCAGCTCAGATGGGCACTGATATGTGGCATTGATGTGCACTGGTATGCACTGATATGTGGCATTGATCTGGCACGTGGCACTGATCGGCACTGATGGACTTTGACAGGTGGCACTGCTGGGGCTACACTGATCATCAGGGCACACTGATCATCAGTGCCCTGATGATCAGTGTACATGTCCCCTCCGAGGAATGCCATCTACCGGCTCTCCTCTCCTCTTGAGCTGTCAGCGTGACAGCTTGAGAGGAGAGAAATGCCGATAACCGGCATTTCCCTGTTTACATGTGATCAGCCGTGATTGGACATGACCGAGCCGACATCTTCAGCTCTTTCCGTGATCGGTGATCCGCTGTGTCCGAGGGACACAGAGCACCACCGATCGCCGCGCTGCGCGCTCCCTGAGCCGCGCATGCGCGGTGAGAATGGGAGGACATCATATGACGTCCTCTCTCAGAACGAGAGAACCACTTTGCACCCGTCATTGGACTATATGATGGGCGGGAGGTGGTTAAGCAGTTACAGAAAACAGTTTTGTTCCTTTTGGGATAAAAGTTTCCCATAATTAAAAACTGATCATTGTAAGCACTCCTGTCAGTGGTAAATGGTTTGTCTCAACCCTCTAACTGCTATATCTGCAGGACAGTGAGGTCAGTTTAAAAACAACTGACTTACTGGCAGGATTACCAGGTGGAAAAGAAAGAAAGAAAGAAAAAGAAAGAAAGAAAGAAAGAAAGCAGCCATCACATTGGTAAGCTGCAATATAATAAATGTTTGCTTTTGGGCTTAAACTTGCTGAACTCCTCCACTCTTCCTACCACTCCATCCCCTACAGCTTTCTCCTCCTGTGCCACCATCCCCTCCCTCCTAGATTGTAAGCTCGAAAGAGCAGGGCCCTCAATCCCCTCATGTTTTGCATTATATTGTATTGTTATTGTTCTGTCCCCCATTGTAATGTACAGCGCTGAGCGAACTATTGGCGCTTTATAAATACTGTATAATAATAATAATACAGCCTTAAGCACAGGCTTATTATTTTGGAAACATAGTGGGTAAACATGATTCAAACTCCTGCTGCAAAGCTGAACAAAATGAACTACATACTGAACTGGAATGGTACATTCTGTATAACTACACTGTATGTATCCATAATATAACTGATTATTTTGTATCCACACAACATCTAGTAATTCATCCAACACGCTGAATATACAGATTTTTCCAACCTACTAAAAACATTTGATTAGAAAAAAATTATTAATGTGTTTGTAAACTCCAAATATATTTTTCTGGATGCTTGGCATAATTGTCTCACTGCACACAGATTTGAAAGATATTTATTATTTTGTGAATCTATTGCAAAGTTTCTTACCTGTCAGTAATAGCATTTCTTGTAAGGCTGCTAACAATAACTCGCTTTCTTACATTCAGCAATATTACTGTCAGTGTGCCATGGGTAACTCCTTTAGTTGGCCTTTGGGCTGTCTATCCGATCTGATAGGCAGCTCAATAGTAAACTGAAGTGCACATGCCAAGCTGACAATGCTGCTTCTAATTGCAAGACAGTGGATTAGCACTGTCAGCTTGCAGCAACAAGTGCTGTTAGTGACAGGATCTCTAGGTAAGATTTACAAAAATCATTTGCTTAAGAAAACGGTATGCAATGAGGCATGTAAAATTGATGTCTGGGTTAACATAAAGTTTAACCTGAGGTCCATGTAATCCATCCACAGCACACATAGACTGTCTCTCAGGGTCAGTAGGAGAGCAGTGGGAAGTTTATAATCTGAAGTTTTTCCACTCATTTCACACTTCAAAGACATGTTGGTAGGTTATTTGGCTCCAGTCTAAACTGGCCCTAGTATGTGTATGAATGTGAGTTAGGGACCTTAGATTGTACACTCCTTGAGGGCAGGGACTGATGTGAAAGTACAATATATATGTAAAGCACTGCGTAAATTGCACGTGCTATATAAATGCCAATAATACTACTACTACTGCTAATAATAATAATAATATTCTTATCAATACAAGTTAATGTTTTACATTGTTTGTATGCTTTTGTAACATGTACAAGGGAGCTGTTAAAACAATTGTGCCTTGGTTATCCTGTTTGCCTGAAGAAAATAGACCATTGCAGTCTCTAATGACATGATGCCTTCCAAATGCTTTTGGTAGTCAGAAGCCACATGATCTAATGCTGACCATACACTTACAGACTTCTAAGAGGTTCTTTTAACAGATTCCTAAATTCATGCTACACAGCACAGATGGACTAATTTCCCCCTGCAGCTATTGTATTTTGGCAGCCAGCCCCGCCAGCTGTCAAAATACCCAAACAGTGACTGCATCTCATTGGATACAGGCTCTGTTCGGTCAGCAGATTTCTGCATGGCTCTTTCAATTTTTCATTTGCAGGATGTCAAGAAGGTTGTGGGCGGCCACTGAGCAAAGTTTGGACAACTTTAGTCCATGCAAGACTGATTATAAGTGTAGGTTTTCATTCAAGTATTTTTTTCTTCAAATAGTATTGTGATTTGTGATTATACCAATAAATGCCCAGTTCATTCCTTTGAAGTTTAATTTTAATGACAGGTCCACATTAAGGCTGTTACAGATGGGCAGGTTTCTTATGAGTGTTATCCATAGATCACACAATAGAGTTATTTGCTGCCTTTCTTACCAATCACCACGGCAACAAACCTGTTGCAATCGTTATTTCAGACTTGGATTACATTTTTTTTAATGTATACACAGCATTTTTTAAACTAAAATAGGACATAACCTGCACAAATTTTCAAGAAAATAAATACGGCAAGGGCTTTGCAAAACTGCAATGATTTGTAGCAGTGCAAATAGTCAATGGAGTACATGTGGTTGTTAAAGTAAAAAAAAAACAACACTTTTAGGGCACTTTTACACTTGCTTCATAATGTGGGATTTGACATACTTTTTTTTTAAGCGTTCTGATGGCCAATCAAAGTGCCTGTCACTAAATAAAATGGTTACCCTACAGTCATATTCACACTGTTGTGTTTTCTTTGGTTCAAAAATTATACCCCATGTCCCTTTCTTGGTGCTTCAAAGCATCTCCAAAGCCTCCATGGAAATCTATGACAATGCTCTCTAACAGCACCTTCAGCTTTTGAGAGGCTTTTAGCCAGAGTTAGCTTTGCTTTGTTTTGAATGTATTGCAGGTATGAGATATCCCAGGATGCACTGGAAAACCAACAAGCGAACAAGAAAGACGTCATCAGCAGTCACTTCAGATTCATGTGCATATTATCTGGAGGGGTCTGGTGCAGATGTCACAACTGGTGTGCAGTGTAAGGCAGCAAGAAGGGGAGCTGAGTCTGGACTGCAGTGGAGAAACAAGTAGACGGCACACGTGGTGTGCAACATGGGAACGCTATAGAGGAAGGTGAGCGGGGACCAGAGAGAGAGGACTGAGCAGAAGAGGATCTGCAGAGCTGGCAGACCGGAGCAGGAGAAACTAGCTGTCACACGTGGTGCACAGCATGGAAGCAACAAAGTAGGAGGTAAGTGGGGACTGGAGACAGAGGAGGATCAGCAAACCAGAAGATCAGCAGAGCAGGGGGTTACTACTGAGTGGGAGATCAGCAGAGTTAGGGGTACTACTGAGACGGGGACCTGCTGAATGAGGGTAATATCACAAACACAAAAAAGCAAGTTGAAGCGGTAAGTGGTTTAATGTGTGTTAAAGTGTAAACGAGCCCTAAATGTTTATTTTATATTGTGGATATATTGCTAATGAAAAAATCTGAACAATGAGACTGCCCATTTCATATATCAAACAGATACAGATGAGTAAGTGCTGAAATGTAGGCTATTGTTTATGAATGCTTTGGAGGTTTAAAAGAATAAAATTGTCTGGGAATTCAAAATAGCTCTGTGGAAACGTGATAAAATTATAATGGCTCACTAAATGAAGACAAGAGAAACCGCTGAGGCCCATTAGAATTACAATGTACCACAAAATGCATTTTCTTGTACATTTGGGTGCAGAACCTGGTACATTACTGAAACCTCCGGAGGTGTTTTAATAATGAGAAAAAAAGGGCTTTTATCCTAAACAGGAAGACTAATGCTGGTCATACACTAGTAGATCTTTGAACAAATGTTTGTATGAACAAATTAGGATATTCGATGACATGATGAATGTCTTTTAAACGTTTGCTTTTACCATTTAGATTTGGAGCGAATGGGCCTTCCTGAATGAAAATCACATTCACTGTTAGAAATGTGTTTGAGAAAAGTTCCATCCTACTTCTTCCAATTTTCTTGTTACTGCAGTCCAAAATAAATGTTGATTTAGTAGGGTCACTACTAATCATTAGAAGATCAAAGAAATGTTCTTTGAATTAAAATTTTCAAACAAAATTCTGCTAGTGCATGGCTAGCTTAAACCTGCCTTGTTTTAAAGAGAACTAGTAACTTCCCTAATGTTTAGAGTCTACGTGTATGGTTTATATTCTGTGCTTTGGCTGAATATGACTGCATGTCAAAGTTGCTGTGACAGTCTGGTAAGTATATATTGATACATCAGTCTTATGTGTGGCCAGTTTCCTCCACAGTGCAGTAAGCAAAGTGAGCACAGTCCTATGTATTCTTTTTAGCTGCATACTGTACTGCTTTAGAAATGGGGGAGAGGATGAAAGATAAGGATTCAGTAGATTCAAAGGCTGCGGTGACTACATTATTGTTAACCAATTGCTGTCCATCAAACATAAAATAGATACATAAAACTGTCCTGGATGCCAGCGATTATAAGCTTGGTATCATTTTTACAGCTGAAGATCAGCTGTTTAGTAAAAGTGATCTGGGCAGCCCTATAGCCAACAGATCACTTTTACTGTTGCAAAAAAGACTCCCCCACCACCACCCATGGGCGCTCCTGGCGTCTCACATTCCTCCGGAGTGCCCAGGACAGCAGTGAACAGAGGATAACAAGCTACACAGAAGATTAAGGAACATCTGCTCCCTGATCTCCCCTATATGAACCCTGAAGTGATAACAATTTAAGCACTTATGGTTTCAGAGCTGTCATTCCTTGGAGTGCTGGGGTGACATTGTGGATCTAATAGACCCCTGATGTCTCCATAACACTGCCTTTTTTAAACAAGGGTGTCCAAGCACCCTGGGGTGCCTTCAGGTATTCTCAAGGATGCCTTGTCAAAATGCCTAAAAATAGCATAAATATTGTATACAAGCTGGGGGGTGGGTAAATCCTGCCTTTCAGTTACACTAAGCCACAGGTTTTCATTGTGCACCATGATAACATTCCTGCCACTGGCATCCTAAAAGCCAATGATGTCATCAGTTAACAAAGAGGAACATCGGATGCCTGCACAGCATTC